TATCTGGGAGAGCTCGTGTACAATGAGAAAGAGCTTTGGATGAAATTGAAAATCCTGAGTAGATGAGTGAGTGAATGAACACAACGTAGACAGAGGTGAGACACAGAAGACGGAGTAAAGAGGAAAGTGTGGTTAGTTCTGGAAATCCCCGTGAGAGAGATCGGTCCTGAGTGATGGAGGCAAGCATTCTGTGTAAAGGTGGACAAGGAAGGCTTTCCTGTGGGAGTCTGGGACCAGGGACGAGGGGGCGACTGCCAGGACAGTTGAGAGTTTCATGGGAACAAGTCTTCAGTCACATTGACATCACTGCCCAGGCAGAGTGGAACCGTGAGGCAAAATACTTCAGATGCCAACTAGTATAAGAAATAAAAATTCCTTTGTAAAGGACAGTGCCTTTTTACAGAGCAAACGTACAGTGAGTGGCTAAGTAACTGCTAAATGCTGGCACCACTCGAGTCTTTTGCATATGTCATTGCAGTTAGCATTTGAGGCTGACAATGTAGCTCAGTGGTAGAGCACTTTACCTAACATGCATGAAGCCCTGGGTTTAATGCCCACCCCACCCCCAGGGAAGGGGAGGTAAAAGCTCATTTAGTTAGCACTTCATAAAATAGAAATTGGATAAGAATTTCTGTTTCCAGCGGAAAATCAAGACTCGGGGGGGGGGGGCCAGGATCCCACCTGCTGACTCTACGGGTGTGCTTTTCTCATCATGGTGGTCCCTTGTGAAGACCAAACTTGATTAATCAGTTCTCCAAGCAGGGTCCCCTGAGTTTTTTGTGTGCACGAGGCAGAAGACAGCAACAGCTGAACTGCCGTTCCTGCCAGCCCTTGTCTAGAGGGCAGAAGCCAGGCTCTCCCCCTGTGTGTCACTAGAGTGCAGCACTTGAAGGACCAGTTGTGTATAACAACTGGACAGCTTTGACAGTGGACACACAGTCAAACCAGTGAGTCAGGGAGCCCAACCTTGGGCAAAGTCTAGGGGCACATCCGTCTGCCTGGGAACTTCTGGACTCAGTAGCCGCTGTTGAGCCTGCTACCCTGTGCCTCTGGAACCCCTGTGCCTTCCAGGAGCACACTCAGCTCTTCTATGGGGATCGGCTGTCACCTTTCTGTCAGATGCACGACCGAGCAGAGCTTCCACAAGCATCCCATTTGCCCGTTAGACTGCTCCTGCATTTGCTCACTCACTAGGAGGCTGAGACCTGAGCATTAGACAAGTCATCATGGTGGGCGGGTGACCATCTTCCTCTTCTTTGTGGAGAAATGAAGAGGTAGCTTCAAAACCCTGCCCAGCTCTCAGACTGCCTTGTCTCATTCATAAGTCTCACACCCTCACCCTACAGTGGGGCCAGAGGAAACTTGCCAGGTGAGGTTGAGGTAGGAAGAAGAGAGAAGGCTTTCAGGGAGTAAGCAGACATGAACAGGTACAAACTCAGGGAGCAAGGGCATGAGGAGGGTGGGGCTCAGGCATTTTACCCAGGCAGCTCCTCTCAGATTCCTTTGTGCTAAGGAGTGAAGAGAGCCTGCAAGAGACTTGCAAAAATCTTACCAAATAGCATTACAGAACAAGAAGAAAAGACGAGACAGGGCATTGTTCAATAGATGCCTTCTAAAATCTGAAATTTGAATGTTGCCAAGTGAGGCTGGACAAGAGCTTCAGCTACAGGACTACAGGAGAGGGTTGCTTCTCGCTCCAAGGGAGAATTGTTGGCTCTCAGTAGATTTGATGGGAGAAGGTCCCTGGGCCCAGAGAAGCATGGGCTTAGCAACTTTAAACAGACATGAGCACTGGCTTGGTTCCTCAGAAGAGAATTAAGGCTGAAGGAGGAGCTTGTTTCCCTTCAGACCATGGCACTATGAACCCTTCACTGTGGCTTGTCTCTGGGTGCCTTCTGCTCTTCAGACACTGGAGGTGTCACAGCCTTCACTCCCTCCACCCCCGCCCATCACTGTAACCCAGGGCTGCAGGCGCATAGACCCAGCGTCTTTTATTTTCTAAATATTTTATCTCCCCGGAGTTGTAGTTAGGACTCATAATTCTTTTTTGTTTGTTTGTTTGTTTGCTGGTCAGAGAACAGCACCACTCACAGTGGACAGGTCTCCCACTTCCATTAACACGATCAAGGCAGTTCCTGTAGGCATTCCCAAAACCCCATGTCTCGGGTGGTTTTAGATTCTGACAAGCTGACAACGCTCACATCACATACCCATCCTGGTAGGTGCTCTTCTAGATGCCAAGATGCCCTTGGCAAGAAGAAGGATCCCCTTTGCAGCACACCCTTCTAACTGTGTGTCATAGAACATTTCCATGTATGCAAACCTCTTCCTGGGAGAAGCCTGGAGTCCTTAGTTCCTGCAGGCACACAGTGCAGGCATGATTGGCGGCTGTATGTAGTGGCTCTCACTGCTCCAGTGCAGTCAGGCTGCCTGGGATAAAGTGTTCTGCTCTCCTTCTTTCCACGCCCAGGCTCCTCTCACCCAGCCTGCAGATAATAGGGGCTTAGTGCCCCAGCAGAAACTTGCTGAACACCAGGCAGTGTGCTGGCACCTTTGACATACTAGTGACAAAAAAGAGTAACAACTAACGTGTGTGCAAGTAGGATTTTTCTTTGTCATTTGGATTTTTTAATTTAATCATTGCAGCAATCATATAAGATGGATACTGTTATCTACATCTATCTACTTGTGAGTGAGGGGTCAATACAGAAATTAAGCAACTTGCCCCCAGCTGCATAATTAGTAGTTGTACAATTAGTGGATGTCAGAGGATTGGGGAGATGTTCTGATTCCCAAGTCGATGGTTCAAGACCCCATGCTGTCTTCCTCTAACTTGTCCATAATCAACGTTTTAGGGCAAAGTCTGAGGCTCCAGCAGCCCCAGCAGGCCGGACTCAGCCACTTATCCAGTGTGCCAATTAATGGTGAGTAATGATGGAAAGTGCGAGAGGACACTTACTCAATGTGGCCACACTTGAAAGAGGAACACGGGCTCCAGTGACTCACAGCCTCCATGGCCTCTGCTTCAAGCTCGAGTTCCTGCCCTGCCTTTCCTCAATGATAGACTGTGGCCTAGAGTAGAAGGAGTATCTCCTTTCTTCCCATAGGTTTCTTTAGGCCAGAAAGCAAACTAGGAGAGTATGCAGGTGTGTGTGTATATTCTTCATGTGTGTGGCCTTGTTTGTGGAGGCCTGAAGTGTCACTGGGAGTCTTTCTTCATCACTCTGCTTCATTCTTTGATGCAGAGTCTAAATCCAGGGTTCATCCATAAGAATCATCTAGTTAGCCATCGCGCTCTGAGCATCTGTCTCCACCTGCTGAGCATTGGAGTTACTCATAGCTGCTATGCCCTCCTGGCATGTTCATGGGCTCTGGGAATCCAAACTCTGGTCCTCATGCTTGCTCAGCAAGCTCTTTATGCACCCAGCCATCTCACTAGTTCCCAGACCCCACAGTTCTCACCCTGTGGCCCTTGGCTGTGGGAATGAGCACCTTGGGTAGGTCGATATGATGAGGGGCGCAGCAAAAGCAAGAACCCAGTGCACATGTGGAATCACAGCCCCACTTAGCATTCAGCCCATCCTCCTTTCTGTGTAAGCAAGGGTTGTGGGATCGTCAGCTGTTCTGAAGACACAAGGGTTGTGGGATCGTCAGCTGTTCTGAAGACACAAGGGTTGTGGGATCGTCAGCTGTTCTGAAGACACAAGGGTTGTGGGATCGCCCAGCTGTTCTGATGACACAAGGCCCTGCTTTCTAGTCACATCCTCTCCTCACTGGTGCCCAGCAGTCGCCTTGGAAACCATCAGCTTTGAGGAGATCTGTGATCATGGGCAAATGTGGCGTGTCACCCTTGTTCAGCAGCAGCTCACTGTCAGAGCGCCTTCAACTCTCAGCTTTTAGGGATGAGGAGGAATTTCATCCGTAACCCTGCCTCTATTCTCAGGGTGGCTGACTTCACAAATCTGAGGGTCGCCTCAGTACATACCATCCCACCCCATCAGTCTGGTCAAGAAGCGCAGTGCTCACACAGGGCCCCTGTGGCCACACCACAGGGAACATGGACCCTGCAGAGCCTCCGGGCTCTTGTATCCTAGATGGAGCCCCTTAGACTTTTTCTATTATGGCTGCCTTTGCATGGGAGACATTTTTATGTAGTCCCTGGCATCTAAGTATATAAAAATAGGGATCAGATATTTATTGAAAACATACAGAAACTTAAAATAAGTTAAAATAGCTCTTTGGTACATAGATAATTTTATATTTTTTAACTATGTAAGCCAAATCGCACGATAATGGTATGGATCTGCCTGTGTATTTCTATGAGAAATATTAAGTCTTGACTGGGTCTTGATACTGCAGGACATAAAACCTTCCCAGTGCTTTTTGGAGTTGGTTTATGTTTTTATTTTATAACTTGATGCTGAGAATGTCACTTCACATAAATAAGTAAAACCAGACAACAGAAGTATGTTTAAGCCATTTCAGACATTATTAAAAATTGTATTCTAATCTGAAGCCCAAATTCATTTAACTTTTTTTAAAAAACGGAACTCAAACTAGCAGCTCAAATGGCATTTTTTAAAGTCCAACATTCTAATGCAGCAAAATCCAAAAAATATCTATGTACTAATTTTATGCTTACATACTAAGAAGTGACAGTAGGAAATTTCAGAAAGAAACCATTACATTTTTGTAAGAAGAAAGAACTAGGTGTGCACAGTAAACACACCACCGTTTATAATGTAATCTCAAATCTAAGCTGAGGTGTTTTGGGCATGTCCATTGGTACTAGGTATTGTGATGGCATGTGCAGTGCAGAGTATGCCTGTTGTGTGCTCAGGACCAAGGAGACCATGAAGTCACATGATGTAATACAAGGTGGCACTGCCAGAAACACCTCATACCTATGACGTATTTGACTTTAAATTAATTTTTGGTCATTATGTGCTCATAAGCTTTTTACCCTTGCCAAGTTTTTGTGGCCCTCCACATTTAGTTACCTGGCCCACAGTTTAAGAAGCCACATCTTAGAGAAGAGCGACCCATACTGTCAAGTTCCCAAGCAGCGTCTCATAGTAGTGTTACCTCATTCCTTCCTTGCAACAGCTCTTTGGAATGTGGTTGGTAGTTGAGAGCATAGGTTCTAGTCAAGACCAGAGTTCTAAATTCTAATGTGCTGGCTAGTTTTATGTGACTTGACACAAGCTAAAGTCATCTGAGAGGAGGGCTGTAGCCACGCCTAGAAGAAATACTGATTTTCTTAATAAGTATTTGATGGAGAGGGCCTAGCCCATTGTGGGTGTTATCATATCTAGACTGGTTGTCCTGGCTTCCATAAGAAAGCAGGCTGAGCAAGCTATGAGGGGCAAGCCAGTAAGAAATACCCCCCATGGCCTCTGCATCAGCTCCTGCCTCCAGGTTCCTGTCCTGTTAGAGTTCTTGTCTTGGTGATGACAGTGATCTCAAAATATAAGCCAAACAAACCCTACCTTCTTCAACTTGCTTTTTTGGTCATGCTGTTTCATCGCATTGTAGTAACCTCTAAGACACCTAACTTGAAAGTGTGACGGTTGTGTGACCCAGATTACTTAGCTCCTCTGGCTGCAGTTTCCCGTCTATCAGTGGAGATGACAGTGCCCACCACAGAGGGCTGTGAGGACAAGAGTGTGGGCTGCACACAGTGAGTATTCGGATAGTGGCTTTACAGCAGAGGAAATGCTGCCTCTGGGAGGTTAGCTGCGTATCACCCCTACTTTATAGAAGAGGAAAGAAACCGAGGTTGGGCTTCTTGTCAACTGGTAGTGAGTAGAATTGTTGAAACGCAGCCCAGGTCTCATGATACTTCACCAGACACCTCTGAAACTGAAATAAACGGTCTCAACTCATTTGAACTAACCCCTTGACGATAGAATCCAAACCCAACACCCTTTCTGCTAAATCTTGCTTTTCTTAAAACAGCCTTCCAGTAAAAGGTGGGTGGGGCTGTGAGTGCAAGCCAGGCAGGCACCTGAGTGATAGAGCAGGAAATATTCTGAGGAACCCTGACTCCCCAGGGTGCTCCCAGAATGCAGTGTTTTGGTTAATGGATTTTCTCAGAGTACGGACCTCTTCTTTCTGCTCTTCCCTGAAAGTCCCTAGGAAACTCACTGCAGCTGCTCACTTCCTGCTGCTCAAAGGAACCTAGCCGTCCCGGAGTGCAATTCAGCTCCTTAGATGGCCAAGCACCTTGGTGAGGTTCAGCCGCCATGTGTGAAGAGCAGGACTCTCCTAACTGCCCGCTCATCGGTCTGGGTCTTACACAGGTCATGTATGCTCCGACACGGCAACAGTGCTGTGTGCACTGAGCTGAAGGGGCAGAGTGGGAACAGTCATCCCCATATCACAAGCGAGGAGACAGTGCAGAGAGCATGGGTGTCCACTGGGGCCGTGGATCAAATAGAAATGGAGTGGTGTTTGCTGAGATGGTGTCATAAGATGAGCTTACCTGGTTTTTAATCCTGGTTTTGCCACTCAGTGATAGCATGGCCTTTGAGCCAGTTACTCTTGGGTCCCAAGGTTTCTGGTCTGTAGAATTCAGAGGAATTTAGGGGCTGGGTTACAGCTCATGGTGCAGTGTGCACTGGTACACAAAAGGCTCTGGGGTCAACCCCCAGTACCACCAAGAAAAGAAGGTAGGGAGATCACTGAAATAGTGTTATCTGGGGATTCCAGCAGAGAAACTAGCGTTGTGCCTGGTCTGAGAGGCCCTCAGCACACGGAAGCTCTTCTTACTGTCCTCTTGTCTCCCACTTGTCTCCGCCACCAGGATACCTGCCCCTGTGGTCAGAGAAAACATGGGATCGGACTGGTCTGCCCTGAGCCCATCCAACTCTGGAAGTCTCTTTGAAGTTAACCTACCCTGTGAGCTTTGGAGAATGGCATTCTCTTTCTAATAACGAGTCAGAGCTTTTATTCCATAGGTAAAACAGTTTTCTCTCCAGAGGTGCTGCAGAGTCCTAGGCTGGCAGCTGTGTGTGGATTTGTTGACAGTGAGCACTATGGTCTGGAAATGTTTCTGGGATCCTGTAGAGCAATCTTCCTTAAGACATGCACAGGGTTTGAACATGAGACTAGGAGGCATGTGAGATGAGATTGGACACATTCAGATGGTGTGGCTGTGGAGAGCAGGAGATATTTCAGATGTGAAATATATTCTGCTTGACTATAACAGAAACTTTCATTGGTATGGAAGCATTCATGTTCCTAAAGACAGAGAAATCTACTCAAGTGTAGACCTTCATGTGTTCACGTAAGCAGGTGTGTGTTCCCTCATGTACCGAAGACCATTGCTAACCTAAACACTACAATTAGAAGTGATCAGAGCCATTCACCGAAGTTGGTCTTACTACAGAAGAGAACCCAGCTGGAAGTTAAGGGGTCAAGAGGGTTGCTCTTGCCTCACCCATGTTCAGCATTGTGACTTGGATAGCATGCAGCTTCTTTGTGCTTTACCTGCTCATTTGTAGAGACAGCGCATCTCTTTTGGAAAACCTTTCAGCAGCATTGCCAAGAGCTTTGAAGATAATTAGTTACTTTAATTTATTAACTCATATCCTCAAATTCCCTCCTAAGGAAGACTCTTGAATTTGGAAAAATCTGGACTAGAGTTCAGCTTGTCTGAGGTTTTCCATCTCCAATACCATCATGGTTTCACTTTGTATTTTGAGTGGTGTTTGTGTATGTGTGCTATTGTTTGAGATAAATTCTTACTATGTATGCCTGGCTGTCCTGGAACTCATTATGTAGATAAGGCTAGCCTTGAACTTTGCGGTGACCCCTCCCTCTGTCTCCTGGTGCTGCAATTATAGGCATGTGCTGCCGCATTTGGCTTTATCTTGATGTTTCCATGCCTTAGTAAAATTGAGAGCTATGTAAATGTCCATAGTCCATGTTAGATGAATGAGGACCATCTACTTAACCCATCTGCAGTATTTACTAAGAAGCGTTACACTTCTGAGGGCCAGCATCAGACAGGTAAATGTGAAGTCAAAGCCATGGATAAAGAAAACATCGGGGAGTCACAACCCCAAGTGCAGGGAACACTGCTACTGCTCTGACCCCTCATAGCAGCTGTCCTCGTGTCACTTTAGGGGCCCATGCATGCTTTTCTGTGTCCAGTTCATTCCTCCTGAACTGTCCTCCCCCCTCACCCAGCAGCTGCCCACCTCTCCTTTCTGCCCAGTTCAATAGATTCCCTTTCCTGCTAAAGTGGTATCGCTTACTCCCCATTCTTGTTCTCGTTGTCTCTGCTCCAGTATGTGTGCTTTGGGTGTGTATTTGTCTTATTTCCTGTCGCATTTGCTTTTGTATGTATACACCGGATGTTCCATGAGCGTGTGCTAACCAAGCTTGGTAAAAGGCCTGGCATAATCTAAGTACTCGATATTGATGCATTCTCACTTTTCACCCTTCCATTTGCCATGTTTACGGTTCATTTCATAATGGCCATGCATTAGACTTAGAATAAACATAACAGTAACTCGTTTGGTCATTTATGTGCCTTAAAAGGTAACCACCTCAACGTTCGTCAGAGCTGCCTGTCAGTCCAGTCAAATGCTGGTTACCTGACCAAGCATCTCCTTGGCCCTCTCAGCTTAGCTCAGGTGTGTGTGTGTGTGTGTGTGTGTGTGTGTGTGTGTGTGTGTGTGTGTGTGTGTGTGTGTGTTGCTGAGCTTGAACATAGAATTTTTCATACATACGCGTCCTCTACACTGAGCCCTTTGTTGTGTTGGTGTGGATGGGTTCCTTGCTAGCACACCTGTGAGAAGATCCAGCAGGCAGGTCTTGTTGAGCAGCAGGCCAGATGGTGAACAGTTTTGCTAGCTTCAGTACCAAGCACCTCTTCTGTGCAGAGACTGCTTTATACAGTGATTTTGATCTGCATAGCAACACTTGAAGGTTACTTTTATTATCTCCATTTGATATATATATAAAGCCATGCAAAGAAAAGTTGTGACTTTACCAAGGCACGTCACCCACCTTAGCTGTGTGCAAGCACACCCTGCCCTCCGTCCAGGCATGACAGATCAGCACACTTGGTGGGCAGCGGTGCACCATCAAGTGGAGGCTGCAGCTCTCCAAATGTGCTGTGGTGCCCACCCACCTGCTTCCAGGGTGCAGTGAAGCAGTGGAATCCAATTTGCGGCGGTGACCTAAGAAGGGCTATTTTTAGGAAGAAAGTAGGTCAGGGGCTGCAGTGTTGCTGCAGGAGAGTGGAGCAGCCTCCCCTCTCAGCAGGACGCTTCCTCACTTCCCAGGCAGCCAGAGTGAGGTGAGGAAGGCAAGGCCAACATTCTCACAGGACCAGCTCTGTCATTGGCAGGGCGGGCCTCCTGGGACACAGCACAGATACACCTACGACACAGAGGGTTTGTAGGAGACCCTGGGTACAACTAAGATCCCTTTCAGGAAACATTTTGAATGTGGTGTAGCATGGTGCACACCTGCTGCATGCCAGCCACTGTTCTGTCTTGATGTCATTATCTCAATCCATCCCTGCAGTTGCTTTGCAGGGTAGCTATCAGACTGAGAGATTGCTAAAGACTCCACAGTTCTTGCATAGTGGAGTTGGTTTGGCATCTAGTGTAAGATTCCAGTACCATGACTATATGGCCAGTCCATCATACCATGATGGGTGTGATTTAGTAAATTACCACCCTGCTTCTGACTCATTTTCTCCAATACTTCAGGGAAAGCAGTACAGAGTTGGCTTTCTCCACATAAACTTAGCAAGTCAGGACCTCCAAGGGTGCCAGGACCCTTCCTCAGGACTACCTGATGATGGAGGCCTGTGGGAACCAACGCCAAGCTAAAGCATATGATTTTTCTAGACTCATAGTATTTGAAGTCCTCAACCAAACTCAACCTACCACATAGCACTGCAGATCTGTGACAGATTGTGGGTGCTTGGCAATGCATAGGCCAATGCAGACTTGTAAACAGAGTGTAGTAATTTACTATCATGATTCAGAATGCGTAGCACAGAGGACTCTGATAGACACCCACTCCCTGACCAGGGGCCACAGGTAC